GGCAGTGGCACAGGCTACAAATGAAACAGAAAGCCTTGCGGAGTCACAGAGAAGCAAAGGGAGCTAGGCATCTAGCCCTTTAAGACAGAGTTTGGTCATGAATTGCCTGAGGCACCATTGACTGCTGATTGTGTGCATGCCAATAAACTTATACAAGGAAGAAGAAGCATGAAAGGGGTAAGTGTGACACCAGTGACAGAAACATAAAAGAGATGGAAGAAAAAAAGACCAAGTCCATTGAGCCTTCCCCATTTTTTTGGTAACTTTTTTTCTATACATACAGTATACTATTAAGCAACAATACTGAAACACATCTTTAATTTTTAATAATATTGCTTCTTCCTCCCTGTTAGTTCTTCATCCCTTTCATATCCATATAATGGAAACAATGTCTTCTTTTTCTGTGTAGTCCAACAGAGGCAAACATATAGACATAATGGTTTCTGCCTTTCCTCACATGGTTTGTCTAACAAAAATGGAAACATAAATTCTGCAACTGATAATAAGGCAATAAGATGTAGAGCTTCAAAGAGGTCAGAAAATGGAGAAAAGGAAGAGGGATTTGTGTATTCTTTCAAAACTAGGAGCAAATTGTGCCCCAGAAAATAGTGTAACCCAATCGTCATGGTGAGAATTGACATAGGCCCACAGGAATTGTTCAAAGGCAAATTGATCCTCTCAGTTTTGCTGTTAGTCTAAGAATGCAAAAGAACTTCCAAAGTCTGGATGTCAATCTATGTATACCATCTTTGTTTGACAGAAGTCGATTGTTATTTCAGCTTCTGTCAAACGGGAATGTTGGAAAACATTTGTTGATCAGCGGCTGCCACCACTGATCAGTGTATTCTGACAGTGGAGAGTCCTGCTGTCAGAATACACTGACCCAGCGGTGAGGATTCCTCTATCCTCATTGCTCAGAGTCAGTTGAGGAGGCAAAATCTACTGGTCAATTCATATTTGATTGTGTCATGCAGGTTCTGCCAGACGGTAGTTACCAGGACCTCATTGTTCCAGACCAATTTTAAGGAGAAGGTGTGGAAGTGTACTGTATACTGGATGATGGATATAGAAACCCTGGCACAGACAGATACCTTTAAAGGCTGTCAGGAAATGATTGAGGTCTGAGCTGAGGGAGTCTTTCCACTTCCAAATGGGTAAGGCCAAGGTGAAAGCATCTCTGGATAATGTACACCACTTTGGTCTGGCCAGTGGGTTTCAATTTTAAAAATATGCTGCACTAGTTCAGGAACCCTCTGAAGGCCAAGAGATCATCAGAATAGTGTAGAGGAGTCCAGAAATTGAGAGTAGACCAGCTAATTGTCCTGGCCCAGAAGCTGATAGAGCTAAAGGGGGGAATGCCACCATCCAACCAGTGAGGTACCAGAGGTGGGTAGAATGAGTACAGAAGAGGGATGCTCAGATATACCCAGCTGCAAATGCTCGATAGAGCAGATTTCGCAGTTGGAGCATACTGGTAGGAAGCTATTGGGAGCACAGAAGAGGGATTCTTAGATTTACTGTCAGGGCAGGAGCGGTGGAATGGACAGGCAGGCCTAATGGTAGGGTCACGCAGCGACTGACAACAGCCGCTACTCACAGACCAGAGTCCCTCAGGGCGCGGAGTCTAAGCCCCAGGCTGCCCTTCACCAGGGCCCCTGATGGTGGCGATGGACTTGACGCAGCCTGAGACCAGGTCGCGGCCCCCGAGTAACCCCAGCTGCGGTAACGACTGCCGCCAATGGCGTACAGCTGGTGGGAGCCAGATGGAAAACGTATAGCGTGGTCAGACAGGCCAGGTCGATAACAAACGGAGCAAACAGTACAAGATGGTAGACAAGAATACTCTGGTCACGGGCCGGGTTCAGCAACGGGAGGTCAGGTAATGGGATAAAGCAGAGAATAGTCTTGTCCAAGCCGAGTCGGTTACCAGGAGAGCAATGAGAACAGAACAAGAGCTTGCTGCAAAGAAACATACAGGACACGAATGCAAAGAGCAATTGCAGACAGCAGGCTTAAATGTGATCAGCCACACCCTTCTGGAGGAGGAGCCGCAGGCTCCCACCATGCTTTGCAGGAACTTAAGATGGATGCCAGCACATGGAGCAACACAATCTGAGGAAAGGTAGGACCTTGACATTTACTCAGGTGAGAAAGCTCAAAAGAGTAGATTTGGCAAACATAGCCTACCAGGAGGAAGTTATGTTAGCAGAGGTTAGTATATCTGATGGAGGGGCTGAGAAGAAGAGCTGAGAGATGGTGCTTTCCAGGAACAGTGGTTGTGGAGAAGAGCTTACAAAAGAGGGTACCTGGATTAGCAACTGCAGACTGTGTGGACAAGGTTACCACAGCCGAGGTAAGAGCAGAGGCACAGGAGAAGCTCAAGGACTGGAGAGACACTTTATACCCAGCTAAACAGTGAAGGTATGTTTACCTGGCACACATCAGTGCCAAAGCTTGGGATATTTTTTTTATAACCTAACCCTGCTGTAAACGTCTCCACAATTTTATCCCTGACCTGTTCCTTGGCCTTCATGATGCTGTTTGTGCACTAATGTTCTCTAACAAACCTCTGAGGGCTTCACAGAACAGTAAGATTAAAATACACACAGGTGGACTATTTACTAATTAGGTGACTTCTGAAGGTGATTGGTTCCGCTAGATTTTAGTTAGGGGTATCAGAGTAAAGGGGCTGAATACAAATGCATGTCACACTTTTCAGATATTTATTTGTAAGAAATTGAGAAAACCATTTATCATTTTGCTTCCACTTCACAATTATGTGCCACTTTGTGTTGGCTTATCACATAAAATCCTAAAAAAATACATTTACGTTTTTGGTTGTAACAAGACAACAGGTGGAAAATTTCAAGGGGTATGAATACTTTTTCAAGGCACTGTAAACCTTTATTCCACTCCTTGTTTTCCCACATTCTCACCAATTTAAAAATCCCTCAGAAACAGAAATATTGATCACACTCCATTCAAAACAGTTTTTATTAAAATATTAGATGTCCAAGGTACTCACACAAACTTGTGCACATAGCATGCATGCAACATAAATGATTGAAAGAAAGTGCCTAATGCTGTATGAGTATTTAACATCCTTCCTGTGATGTCAGCTGCAGGATGTTATAACCCACACAAGATCAGCCGCATGAACCTTGTATACTGAATCGCAGGACTTTGCTGGGGAGCAGTGCATCAGAGAACTACTTTTCCCAAAAGTACTGGCGTGTGGGTGGGGGCAGATATATACAGAAACCTGGGAGACTGGACAGGAATTGATAAGGGAGAGAGCTGGAGAGAGGAAGCAGAGAGAGAGTGTTGTCAGAGAACTGGACCAGGCTGCAGAGTCGGAGAGAGGAGAAGCAAGGAGGAGCCGCTGACCTTGCCACCTCACTGAGTAAGACAGTCTGCCAGTAGGTAACCCGGAGCACAGTGACCAGCCGGAGCGCTGCACGTGAGGCCGAAGAACCTGTGGGGGCTCTCATCCGCCGAGAGAGACTGCCAGAACCTGCTGGAAGCTACTGATTGGATGAGAGAGTCCCACACACCAGTTAGGCAAGAGAACACTGCCATTCTCCCCATAACTGCTACTTTACCTGCACACAGTTATGAACATTGTATTCAGTTAACCACTTGCTCTCCAGAGGATTTACCCCCCCTCCTGACCAGGCCATTTTTTGCGTTATGGCGCTGCATTACTTTAACTGACAATTGCGCAGTTATGCAACGCTGCACCCAAATGAAATTTATGTCCTTTTTCCCCACAAATTGAGCTTTCTTTCGGTTGTATTTGATTGCCTATGCGGTTTTTTATTTTTTGCGGTATAAAAAAAAAAACCAACAATTTTGAGAAAAAAAAACAATACTTTTGACTTTTTGCTATTAAGCATGTCCAGTAAAAAAATTTTTAAAAATTCAAATTTCATCATAAATTTACACCAAAATGTATTCTGCTATGTCTTTTACTAAAAAAAAATCCCAATACTTGTAAATTAATTGGTTTACGTGAAAGTTATAGCGTTTACAAATGGCGGTATATATACTGGAATTTTTTTTTTTTACTAGTAATGGTGCCAATCAGCGACTTATAGTGGGACCGCGGCGAGCATTCTGACACTGGGGGGAACTGACTTGTTGTCACTGGCATCCCCAGTGACACCACTACAGTGATTAGTGCTAAAAAAAATGGCACTGGGCAGGAAGGCGTTAACATGAGGGGCGCTCAAAGGGTTAACTGTGTGCTGGGAGTGTTTTACTAGGGGGTGGTGTGTTTGTGCTTCACTGTAAGGACACTGCTCTGGATGGCTGTGCTGTACCCAAGCCTACGGGGAGAAGGACTGTTCATAAACAGTGTGTGTGATTTTGTGCACCCCTGCAGCCCTGCAGCAGTATTTCTACTATAGGGCGGCGGGGAAGCAGTTAACGTGTGTCGCGGCCTAGTTCCCATAGCCGCTATTGTTGAACACATTTTCAGTACAGTTAAATCATCAGAGCTGACCGCAGTGCACCCTTCTTGTGGGTCAGATTACATCAGTGCTCCCTGAACCATTGGCCTATCCTCCTAAAGGAACTTCTGCCACCATTGCCATTGGTCACCGCATTCTAGAGTGGAGTTGCCTGTTTTCCAACAGGCCCTTTTGCCAGTTTTCCACTTTACTTGCCTAAAAGCTGCTTCTTTCCCAGTCCAGTAGCCTCCCTAGCGGTCTGATTATGTCAGTATTTTTTTGCATGGAAATATGTATTTTTTTTTATTGTAGGCCTGTAATTTTTAGGAATAACTCACTGAAATTTGTTCGAACAAGAGTCTAGTAAACATTCCGGGTATGTTAACATTTGAAACATGAAATCATAAATTATAATTTAATAAATAATCATAAAAAATAATAATGTAATAATAATAAATTTTATTCAATAATATAATCAAACCAAAAACACTGAAATTTGAAATATAGCGCCAAGTTCGCACATCACTGAGCAAAGTCGCAAAATCGTTTTCAGTGTCTGATGACGAATTTCCCCACGAATCATTATCACTCAATTCTGCAAGTGGTTCTAATTTACTATCGCTGTTCTCTAGCCGGTCTAAAACTGCTATTGACCTAAAGGGACGCTTTTTGGACGCCATGGACGTTTCTCAGTTTCCAGGCAGAAAGAACAGGAAAAATGCAGGCAGGGCACAGGACAAAGCACTCAGGACAAAATGTATGTGAAATGGTTTGATACAGTAATGTTTTACTATGTGATTTTAGTGTATATAGTGAATGTCACTTTTTCACATTTTTAAATTTCCTGCCAGTTCCGTCCCCGTATGTCCCAACGCCGCAGGGAACGGAACCCGGAAGACAGATGCCGGCATCGGACAGATGCCGGGGACACTGCAGGAGGGGACATCGCGGGAGCGAAGGACAAGGTAAGTAAAGAGATCCCAGAGAAATGCTGCAAGGTATTCCTGAGTGTAGCTCGGGGTTACCGCTTGTGGTGCTGAAACTTTACCCCGAGCTACACTCGGGAATACCGCCAGGGAGGGAGATTTTTCTGACTAAAAAAATTAAAGCACATTTTTATTTTTTGCTGACTATAATAAATAAATTCTCTAGGCCCTATACACACTGGGTGTTTGGGTGGAGAGCTCAGGTGCACAGTCTCGCCCCACTACCAGCAGCTTGAGAGGCTGACAGTTGCTGCGGCTGAATGGTGCGCTGAGCAGTACGAATGTTTAGGGCAGTATTTGTTCACGAAAAATTGCCCAGAACACAAAGCAGTGCATTAAATGCCAGGATCGATCAGTGCACTGTCCAGCTGCAGCAGCTGTCACCATCTCATGGAATTTAACAGGCCACCAGCAGCACGGCACAGCTGATTGGTGCGCCTGTGCCCTCTGCCCATACCTAACTGCACCTAAACACTGGAGCCTCCTGTACCAGAGCTAAATGCTCAGTGTGTAAGAGGCATTCATGTTGTTAGAGTGAACTTGAAAAAAGACAAGTAAAGTGATTTAAAGAGGAACTATACTCCAACGTTGTGATCTGTTCTCCAACGCTGTGATCCCCCAGCGTCCCCTGCCAGCTGCTGACATCTTCAGCCCATGGGCTTCCGGGTATTGCTCCCAATCATTTTAATTGGCTCGTCCAAGATGACGTCACTCCCAAGCATGCGTAGGAGTTCACTCACCTTGGCATTGCCGAAATTCTACACTGAGCTGTGTGTGCACGGCTCAGTGTACAGCTCGGACAGGCAGGTAAGGGAACTTTAATGCAGAAGAGACATGGCATGTCTCTTCTGCATTGAAATTCCTGCCTGTCCGCAATTTTTAATAGTTCCATTAAAGTTCCACTTTAAATGTAGACAGTATTTATTCAATCAATACCTTATATTGTGAAAAATATGTCTTTGAAGTTAAAGTGATAAAGTCACACATTTTTTTAAATAAAAAAGATGGTATACTTACCTGCTCTGTGCAGTGGTATTGCACAGAACAGTCCTTTGTCTCTTCTTTGGCAGACTTCTTCCTGTGAGATGGGGCTACTCATGTATCCGTTCCCAAGCCAGGCTGTGGACACACACCCCTGCTCCCTCCTCACAGGATTTGACTGACAGCAGCAGGAGCCAATGGCCCCCACTGCTCTCAGTGAAGCCTGTGAATCCAGGAAGAGAGGAGCTGCCAGGGGAGGATGGGGCTGCATCATGAGAGGTGTCAGGTAGATGTTTATGGGGCTAGGGGGCAGAAAAAATAGTCACACTAATTCATAGTCACAATTAATTCATTAAGGAAGAAACGTTTTGCCGGTATAACCAATGTAATGTACTGGAGCCAGTGCAGTAGATACTGAAATACTGCAATGAAACTGTGCTGCAACTTTCAACATGTGACAGTTGTTTTTCTGGTGCATTGGAATTTAGGTATATGACAATTTTGTTAGTCTGTGTACATTTCTATTTTCTTTTCTGGGACCTAATCTGCATTACTGGGGACCTGTCATTTTATTTTGACCACCATTTTTTTTACAGATATCTCCAGCAATAGATTTGTCTTTTCTTACACAACAAAAATAACCTGAATGTTCGGCTTGCTTAAATGCATAGCAGGTGTAGTGGTAGTGCCCACACAGCACACTGTCTACTTCTTCTGGTACTCCCTCTATTCTGCAAACAGACAAGCACCAGTGAATTGGAGTGTAGAAACTGCAGACAACTTGGTTCATGATTAACCAAGGCTGCATCCAAGCTGCACACTCTGCTTGCATTCAATGGTCAGAGTGGAATGAATGTCAGAGGAACTGGATGTGTTGACAGAGCAGTACTATGTATTTAGGTAAGTTCTACTGTAGGGTTCTTTTTTGTAAAATATGACTTTTACTTTAACATGTTCAAGAACAATACGCAAAAAGTAATGAGTTATTTTTTCCAAATATAACAGGAGGCATGGATTGTATGCCATATAGACTACTCAGAAAAGGTGTGTTTTTAACCCCTTAACGCTGGCACCTACCGGCCCGTTAAGGGGTTTCCGATGCCAGGAGGCAGGGTGGGGTTTCTGATCATGTGACCTTCGTAATTGGCTGTCACAGCAGTCACATGATCGGAGAGCTCTGGATCGCAAATAGTGATTGGTAACTGTAACAGTAACTGTGCCATAAGCGTTCAGGGCGCGCCCTCTCGGTACAGCTGTGATCACATTCTGGTATGCATATATGCAGCCTCTTGGTGTTAAGGCCCACCTACCGAGAGGCCTTAACACATACAGTATACAGGTGAAACTCAAAAAATTAGAATATCGTGCAAAAGTTCATTTATTTCAGTAATGCAACTTAAAAGGTGAAAGTAATATATGAGATAGACTCATTACATGCAAAGCAGGATAGTTCAAGCCTTGATTTGTCATAATTGTGATGATTATGGCTTACAGCTCATGAAAACCCCAAATCCACAATCTCAGAAAATTAGAATATTGTGAAAAGGTGCAATATTCTCGGCTCAAAGTGTCCCACTCTAATCAGCTAATTAAGCCATAACACCTGCAAAGGGTTCCTAAGCCTTTAAATGGTCTCTCAGTCTGGTTCAGTAGGAATCACAATCATGGGAAAGACTGCTGACCTGACAGTTGTGCAGAAAACCATCATTGACACCTTCCATAAGGAGGGAAAGCCTCAAAGGGTAATTGCAAAAAAAGTTGGATGTTCCCAAAGTGCTGTATCAAAGCACATTAATAGAAAGTTATGTGGAAGGGAAAAGTGTGAAGAAAAAGGTGCACAAGCAGCAGGGATGACCGCAGCCTGGAGAAGATTGTCAGGAAAAGGCCATTCAAAAGTGTTGGGGACTTTCACAAGGAGTGGACTGAGGCTGGAGTCAGTGCATCAAGAGCTACCACAAACAGACGGATCCTGGACATGGGCTTCAAATGTTGTATTCCTCTTGTCAAGCCGTTCCTGAACAACAAACAACGTCAGAAGCATCTTATATGGGCTAAAGAAACACAGACCTGGTCTGTTGCTCAGTGGTCCAAAGTCCTCTTTTCTGATGAGAGCAACTTTTGCATCTCATTTGGAAACCAAGGACCCAGAGTATGGAGGAAGAATGGAGAGGCACACACCGCAAGATGCTTGAAGTCCAGTGTGAAGTCTCCACAGTCTGTGTTGATTTGGGGAGCCATGTCATCTGCTGGTGTTGGTCCACTGTGCTTCATTAAGTCCAGGGTAAACGCAGCCATCTACCAGGAGATTTTGGAGCACTTCATGCTTCCTTCCACAGACGAGCTTTATGGGGATGCTGACTTCATTTTCCAGCAGGACTTGGCACCTGCCCACACTGCCAAAAGCACCAAAACCTGGTTCAATGACCATGGGATTACTGTGCTTGAATGGCCAGCAAACTCGCCTGACCTGGACTCCATAGAGAATCTATGGGTCATTGCCAAGAGAAAGATGAGAGACATGAGACCGAACAATGCAGAAGAGCTGAAGGCTGCTATTGAAGCATCCTGGTCTTCCAAAACACCTCAGCAGTGCCACAGGCTGATAGCTTCCATGCCACATCGCATTGAGGCAGTGATTGCTGCAAAAGGGGCCCAAACCAAGTACTGAGTACATATGCATGCTTATACTTTTCAGAGGTCCGATATTGTTCTATGTACAATCCTTGTTTTATTGATTGCATGTAATATTCTAATTTTTTTGAGATTTTGGATTTGGGGTTTTCATGAGCTGTAAGCCATAATCATCACAATTATGACAAACCACGGCTTGAACTATCTTGCTTTGCATGTAATGAGTCTATCTCATATATTAGTTTCACCTGTATATGTAGTGTTGTCGCGAACAGATTGAAGGCAATTCTTTTTTTTTTTTAAATACCAAACATGTTATACTTACCTGTTCTGTGCAGTGGTTTTGCACAGACAGCTCGATCCTCCTCTTCTTGGTCCCCTGCCGGCGCACCTGGCTACTCACTTCTGTCGGGTGCCCCCCGGAGCAAGCAGCTTGCTATAGGGGCACCCAAGAAGACTCACTCCTGAACCACTGCTCTGCATGTCCTTTCACACACAGAGCCAATGGCTCCCACTACTGTCTCATCCAATGAGAAGGGAGAGTCCCTAGAGAGCCAAAACTTTCGTGCACATCCCTGGATTGCGATGGGGCCCAAGTAAGAATTAGGGGGGGCTGCTGCACAGAGAAGAGAATGCATGAAGGTAAAAAACCTTGAGCCTTTACAACCTCTTTAAAGAAAAACATATCACTGTAATTAATCAATGCTAGAGACTTAGTCCACAGCATTTGAAATATATAGCTCAACATTCCTTTAGTGGTGATGACAGTGTGTAACCTGAACTGTAGCTGATAACTGCTGTGGAACTTTTTCCTTTGTTGATGCTGTATTATTCTTCTGCATTGAGGACAGGGTTAAACTGAATATTCATTGATGCAGAAGTACAGCAGCCATCCTAAGGATATAGAGAGCAGCCATCTTGACTGGGTCAATCCTGGAAAGACAGTGATTGGCTGAAGAGAGCGGAGAGTCTTAAAGGAGATGGGGTAAGAATAAGAGACTGGACCACTGGATGATTGAAGAGACTGCTGGCTCAATGGAACCCTGACATGGCTGACCACAATCAGGTGAGACCTCAGAGAGACTGCTCATCACTCAGGACCATGCCTCAGAGATGGGATTTTTCACCCTGTGAAAATGTGAAGTATGATCATACTATCCCATCGCTTTTTAGGAAGGAAAAAGGGAACTGTCTAAGCAGGACTGAAAGAGAAA